CTATAATGATTATACAGAAACTTTATACTAGTAAGATACTGGTAAGATATTAGTAACATATCAATCTTGGCACAAAATCAAAAAATAAATGAAAAATTCAAGATTCAAAATAAAAAATTGAATATGATTTTGAGTAGACTAAACAAATAAATATATAAAGAAACCAAAGAAACAAAAGAGCAAAATCAAGTATCATTGTTTGATTGTAGATTCCAACTATTTTATTCAACAAATACAAGCTCAAGAAGGTTGGCCAAGGATATGATATTAATCTTTGTGCCTCGCACCTATTTCTCATGACGATATTGAATGTTATCAGATTTGTAGATTAACGAGGAAGGGCATAAACAAAAACATTAGCACTTATAATAAAGAAAAATTAAAAAAACAATTTCATACTTATCTTATACCACCAGCTTTCATTTATCGCTCCACTAATGTTTTCCTATTTACTATAAAAATACTCTTCTAGCTTTAATATTCTTCTAATAACCTAAAATAGAAAATTAAACCCAAAGAATATGAATCAAAAATGTGAATCCAAAAGGAATCAAACACACAGCTACAATCACCAGATTAGAAAGTTAAGAAAGAAATCACTAGATCAAAAGTGTAATATGTTAATATTTACGTTGAAAAATCTCTTGAAGTATGTTCGCGATTGAGAATTTTCACAGTTGAAAATTATATGGTCTTACACATTTGTTGGATCTACGTTACCTACCTACAGTAAATTACTGTGAAATACATTCGTTAGATCAAAAAAATGTAAAGAAATTTTATTAGAAATAAAATTTGAAAGTGAAATAGAGTTCGCTAGTTTTTTTCAATTTGATATCCAAATATTTTTATAAATCACGTGGTATGATGTTCAATATTTTTAATATTGAAGTCTTTATAATGAATACAGAAGATTATTAGAATATATGACGCGGTATCTTAATTTTGACACAGTATATCATTAATGATATCGTCGATGCCGCTGAGTACATAGTTATTATTGTACGTGTATATAGCATCAATACTTTTATCGCTATCGTTATTGGTTCTGATCCTTAATTTTGACTTAAGCTACATTTTTTATGAAAGATGATAGAGTAAGACGGGCTTAAAGTTAATTCAAATTTCGGGGTATGTAACAGTCGATTACGTCTCATTTCCCCGAACCCGACAAGGGTGACAATTTACTAACTATAATACCTACGGTTAACGAAATGCTAAATTGTCGCCTCTCGTTATGGCATGCGGGGAAATAGGTTTCGAGGAAATGAATCTACCGTAACAATTACATGATTCGCCGACTCATTTGACCTTTGAAGTCACATGATTATAATACTGCTTATCAGTTGAAGTTTCAATATTTTGTTATATATATAGTGTATATATATAAATATTTTGTTATATAGTGTAATATATATATATATAGTGATATAATTATTGCAATTCTAATCGTTTTGGTGATCTCTTTAGTCATGCAATTAATAAGTCTCTAGATATCAATATAAATTTAATAATTCAAAAGCGGGTATATATATATATATATTTATATTAACGTTACTAAGTCTAACGCCAAGCTTATACGTAGATAGTTATAAATGTTGGTGTAACTAACTATATACAGAATTTTAACAACTTTGTTTGAAAGAGCTAGTTTTCATTAATTACCATAAGAGAGTACCCTTTATTATTTAAATCAAATTTACGGTATAACTGTATAGTCGGACATAAGGTATAGTCATATTAACCTATACATATTGATCAAAATTTGTTATATTTTCAAACTATATATAAACTTTTAAGAGGTTAATGCGAAGGTTATCACAGTTTTCACATGACCTCGTTTTTTTACAAGATTTTTTCACACTCGAAAAATATTCCCTCGCATAGCCATCATTATCACATCATTATTCAAAATTGGTGATGTAGATATGACACGCCTATCAACACTCGTAGTTTACAATAGCCACTTTAAAGTCGGATGACTCGACCGCGATCAATTGAAGAGTTAAAAAGAGCCTATGGGCTCGTTTTATATTATGACACATTAACTATGTCACAAATCTGATGACCAGCTACGGCATGAAAAAACGCGAATCTTAGTGAATGCGCATTAAAAATCTATCATGAAAGAATGATTGTTATAAATATACGGCAGTTGACCTGCTTTTTTACGCACGAACAATGAAATAATGAATCGATAAAATAGATTTATGCAAACAAAATATTTGTGCCGCAGTTAATTAGATACGATCACCTTATTAACAATATATATATAAATTTCACACCTATGACCTATTTCAACTGATAAATAACTGATTTTTCTTTCTGACAAATTCAGAGGTGTTTGAATTTGCGTCAATTGATGAACAACAGTGAGATGATTTTTTATACTTTCTCTTTGACAATTCATATAAATCATTAAGGCAGGATCAGAAAGAGAAAGATAAAAAAAGTTATTAATGAAAGGTGATATCTTGTTTATCATTTTCATATATAAAAAGTTGACTAATTCACGGTTTTGAAATTTTACCGTATTTATTCATGCTTGCTCTTTTCTTTGCACGGTTCATTTGTCAAATAGGACTATTTATTTATTAAAAAAAATCTCCATTATCGTTACCATTATCGTTACAACTTTTTGTATTATTATTTTGACTGTCTTACTCGGTTTTATTCGATGATTGCAGCGTTCCCTTTTCATGATCAACATTATGACCAATCTTCTACAGATATGATGAATATCAGTAATGTCGACAATGGTGTTTCAAGTCTTGGCGATAGTCGGCATCATTCTTTATTTTCACCTCATCATCGCGAATTTGTAGTTGATCAAGACATAAAAGACGGTCTCTTGATCAATGATCTCTCATCTTCGGAACCTTCACCTGCTTCTCTTGGACAACTTTTCCATTATCCAGTTCCATATCGTCAAGTCAAGCGTCGTCGTCGTCTTACTGAAGAAGAAACAAATATTCTCATTAGTACATTTGAAAAGGTTCAAAAACCTGATGCGGAAATGCGCACCAGATTAGCAGCACAACTCAACATGTCGTCGCGTGCTATCCAAGTTTGGTTTCAAAATCGAAGAGCAAAAGTTAAAAGAGATGCTTTAGAATCTAAAAATGCAGCAAAATTCAATAAACCAAAAAAATTAACACTAGCAGCAGAATATTGTCAAGAAAAAAGAATTAACAATTCTGAATCTATTCATTCTTCTCCTATATCTTCGACATCTTCAATTGCCGCCTCGCCTACTGATTCTAAAATGCAAGGGATGGCCAGAATTACACCTAATCTCGCTAATATTTCAATAGCACTAACTTCCGACAATGAGCATCAATTGGAACCGGCAAAAGAAAATGGACAATCTTTATATTATCCTCAATTGATTTCTAATAATCAGAACAATAATATGATTGGATTAGTTCATGAAACTGTTTATGATAATTATTGGAATACTTCTTGCGATATGAAAACTATTAATAACGACGAACGATCTATTTATTCTCCTTATTATAATTCTGAAGGTGACAGTTATTTAACAAATGGTAAATTTTATATTTATATCATATTTCTTACGATTTATTCATATTTACTATATTGATTATCATGCCAGACTTTGATACCGCACCGGTATCAACGGTGCAGTCTTTCCCTGAACCTATGTATGGCACGTTTTATCAAACAAACGATAATCCTACCGATTTTCTCAATTGGCAGGATAAACCAAATTTGCCATTATCATTAATGCCATCTACTGCCATAGATACCGAAACTCCAATTGGTCCTAACAATACACCTATCCTAGCGAACAATCGGCTTGTTTCTATCCCCATAACTTTAGACAGTTTTTCAGCATCTCATAACCTTTCAGGCTCTTTGCGCGCTCTTGCGTGGTTGGTAGATTTCGAAAAACCTGTACCTTCAACTCAAACTCATATTTCCTCAACTCAAACTCATATTCCCTCAACTCAAACTCACATTCCCTCAA